GAGAGAGAGAGAGAGAGAGAGAGAGAGAGAGAGAGAGAGAGAAAGAAAGAAAGAAAGGGACAGAGTTTGAGTTTGGGGCTTCAAAAGATCTCAAGGGGTAACAAGAACTAAGACCAAGAAGGGTGAACTTAAAAACTATGCCATGGAACACAAAAATGGCACTATTCATCCCAAAATAACACAGGATCTCACTGAACTTCAAGGTATTACATAGTGAAATCACAAAGCTAGCTTTAAGAAGAAAAAAAAAGACACACACAGGTACATACACATGTGCACACATACACAAACATGTTTACATAACAAAATTTCCATCTAGTAGAAAAAAGCTGGGTGATTAGTTTCATAAAATAGTATTTTTTTTTTTTTTTACCCTATTCTGGTTGCCTGTGAAGGATAAACTCTGAGAAAAGACTGGCAAAGTGGAATGTTTACTGAGAGAGACCAAGTAAGAAGAAGGGAGAGTGCCAGCTTCAAACTACAGATGCAGTGCAGGCACAGTGGACACTGTCCAACTACCAAGTTCCTTTTACAGAAGCAGAAACAGACATGCACACTTAATAACTCCAGCAGACAGAATGTGGTCCATGAGAGTTGTATATCGCAGACTTGGCTTCAATATTAAGAACTATCTCAAAATTAATGGAACAGTTTTAAGTGCATGCCTTATAATGCAAGCTGTGCCCTGCTCCTGGAAGCTGTAAACAAAGGCTAGGTGATAGTTATATGTGTAAAAGATAAAGACTCCTTTGTCCCGACTAAAGACCTGGGAGGAAAGTAACAGGCATTTCAATACCTTTTTCAATGCTAAGGTAAGAGTTATGCCCCCCCCTAAAGGAACGGCACTATTAGGAGGTGTGGCTTTGTTGGAGGAAGTGTATCACTGTGGGGGTGGGCTTTAAGGTCTCTTATGCTCAAGCTACTCCCAGTGAGACAGTGCATCTCCCGTTGCCTTCTGATCAAAATGTAGTCAGCACCATGCTTGCCTCCTGCCACCCTCCCTGCTATGATGATAATGGACTTAACCTCTAATTTGTAAGCCACCTCAATTGAAGGTTTTACTTTATAAGAGCTGCCATGGTCATGTTGTCTCTTCACAGCAATAGAAACCCTAACTAAGACACATTTTAAATATTTAGTCCTCATTTTCCAATATAATTATTGTAAACAGATTTCATTTAGAAAAGTTAGGCTAGTTCTGTCAAAATATCCATAAATATTAAAGAAGAAATTGGTGAAATGACAGAGACAACTGAAATTTAGCTAACCTTTTGCCACAGTAGAAGGAATCCATAGTCCTTTATTAACAATGGAATTTAGGTTTTGTATAGATTTCAATCTTGAACACTGTTTACATCTGAAATGAGTAAATGAAAAAACAGTAAATACTTAAATATAATCAAACCACTTAATTATTACATACTATTCAAGTAGGGACAGTTTTTGAAGGTCAGTTATTAAACAGAAGGGCATAACATTGCCTATACTGTAATGTGCTTGTTTCAAGAGAATTATGATTAAGTTGCTACACAAAAGCAATAAAAGATATGATGGGTACAGTGGCCTGAATGAGAAAGGCCCAATAGCCTTATATATAGGAATGTTTGAATCCTAGTTGGTGGACTATTTAGGAAGGATTAGGAGGTGTGGCCTTGTTGAAAGAGGTCCAATTTTGCTATTTCTAGCACCACCTTGCAGGTAAGACGCAAGCAAGCCCTCAGCTGCTGCTTCAATGCCATGCCTGCTGCCATGCTCCCACTGTGATGGTCATGGACTCACCCTGTAAACTAAAAGCAAGCCCCAAGCTCAATGCTTTCTTTTAAAGTGGCTTGATCACGGTGTCTCTTTACAGTAACAAAACAATAACTAAGACAACGGGCTTCAGAATAAGTTGAAAATCAGGAATTAGACTCTAGACAAAATTAATTTGGTTGTGAATTTTCTTGGCAAAATGAAAAGACACAGGAGAGAAGTTGCAGGAACTCTTTGAATTTATGGCTCCATTAGCAATATCTGATGGCTACTTGTTGCTTTCCTGACTCAGACTGACAATGAACACTGTACCAGGAAGACAAGATGGAAAGCAGGAAGGAAAAAGAGCAAAGGATGATCATGTCAGAAATAAAGTCTGAACTATGGCTGGATTCACATGAGCACAGAATATGATGGGCTTGGATAGTTCAATTAAGTGGTATATAAATATTGCATAAGATTTAAAGATATGAAGACGCTGGGGGCTTCAAAGCAAAAACAGCTACTAATTCATTTTACTTCATTGCTGAAGGTTTTCATCCATTGTGTCTTAAACAAAACCAAGGGCAAAGCCCACTGGTCACTTTAAGGACCACAATCAGGTAGGTATGGTAATGCAGGAAGTAATTTTATAACGAAAGTCAAAGTTTAGTTTCATTAGTAATTACAAGTAGCAAATGTTACACACTGGGAGAAGGTCAGGGAAGATGAAACAAGATCTATCATGGCTGCAGAACAAGGCTTCTCAAGGTGGAGCATTTTCAGGGTGACTGCAGGTTTCTGCAGAAGTACAGGTATTTTCTTCATCCTTCTTTCAGGTCAGAATCTACAGACCCCCAACTCTCCGCCAGTTTTCAGTGGCAGGAACTCTACAAGGTACCAGCTCAGCAGTTGTAGAATTCACTGGATTTGCAACTCTAAACTGTCCCTTTAGTTAGCATCTAAATTCTATGAAAGAAACAAGCTTAGCCTATGACCCAGGAAGAAAATATTAAAATTTTTACACCCACTGTGCATTACCATGCACACACACTGTGAATACCTGTGTATTCTAAAATAGAAACATACAAGAAAAATTTAGTATAGATACTCTTGAACCCACAATGGGGTTGCCTCAATACATCTAACCTACTGAATACAGTGCTCAGCACACTGTTGCTAACCCTAATGATCCTGCTGTCCACTGAAAGCTTGAATTTACGATCTCTCTCTAGCACATGAGTATTGTACCACAACCTACTCTCAGGAAAGATCAAAACTCAAAATTCAAAGAACAGTTTACTGAACTTGTGCTTCATCTGTACAATTCTAACACAATCGTAGCTCAGGAACTGTTCTAACTATATTAAGTACCTACTGGAAATACAGTAGCCCAGGGGATAGCCCATAAAGACACAGTTGTAATCCCCAGATCTTGAGCTGAACACACACCCGTAGTGATACACTTTTCCTTGTATGAGGAATGGTGCCGAAAGGTCTAGCAGCTCCAGGTCCTCAGGGCCGGACCTCACAGGAATAACACTGTGAAACTTGCTTGATAGTTTAGAGACTTCACAGAGCCTTCCTCCTTTAAAAAAATAAATTCTTCAGTAACACAAATATAATCAGAGAAAGGCGTGGCATACACGTAACACATGAGATATAGCAAATTCTACAAAGAATGACAAAGAAAAGGGAGTTATAAATTTAGAAGAAAACAAACTTGGCAGGATAAAAAAATTATTACATAAAAATTAGATAAAAAACAGGAAATAAAAATAGTACAGTTCCATTCTTTAAAGTTGTCATTATCAGGGCTCTTTTCATTGATTTAGGTATTAGCAGAGGACTTTCATCCCACTTTCATGAAACAACAGTGACATCCAGAGGCCAAAACTGTATCAGCTGCACATGAGCAATCTGCCTTTCTATTCTGCTCAGAGCCAACACAATTAGAGACAAGAATCCAACAAGGTGGATAAACACAAATGTTATTCAGCATCTGAAAATGCAATTCAGGTGAATGTGTTTGTTCATACATATTTGAATCTAGTTGATGTACTGGTTTGGCCAATTTAAATAAACAGTATTTCACTAGGTGCCCGGATACTGTCAACAGTGATTAATGTGCAAAACAACGTTCTAAAAACCTAACAAGTTTCTCACCTTCTACCAAAATTAGACATTCACTTGAAATAGGGAGAATGTCACCATTTTTCACAAAGTGAACAGCGACCTGCCGTCCTCCTTGGCCTTCAGTGGACCAGACTTTTGAGTCATACAGTGATGTATCTTGCAGCTTGCTATTTGGAGCTTTAGTTGTAGCATCTTGCAAAATTTTATCCAAGTTGTCCTCATATGGAACTTCTTGCCTAAGATCATTGATAATGAAGCATCAGAAAATAATATATGGATATTCCTCAAAATTCCAAGTTAATAAATTTTTCCAAGTTAAAAAAAAAATACCTTAGGGGCTGTTCAGTGGTTAAAAGCACTTGCTACTGTCGCATATACCCAGGTTTATTTCCCAGCACCCACATGTAGTCCCACAACCACCCATAACTCCAGTCCTGAATTCTGTGGGCACCAGGCATACACATGGTGCACATACACACATGCAGGTACAACACTCCTACACATAAAATAAGAACAAATTTAAAAAATAATTTTATATGAAGATTACATCAGCTAAGCTTTCTTAAATTCAGAAGACAGGTCACAGATTTAATGCATTTTATTTAATAGATATTTAACATTGTATGGCTAGGTAAATCCTTATTTTAAATAGAGATGAACTGTATCTGTGTTGACAAACACATGCCATGTGTAGAAGTTAGAGGACAATTTCCTACCACATAGGCACTCAGGTCATGAGGCTGGGTAGCAGGCATCTTTACCTACTGACCTATTTCCTTGGCCCATACTTGGTTTAGAATCTGAGGTTACAGTTATTCCCAGTGCCAATCTGTTGTCCTCTACCATTAGCTCTGTCTTCACCCCAGGAAATCCCACTGCCACAGGGTACCTCTTTAATAGTAAGTCATACAAGTCACATAAGTTCTCAGAGTAGACATGACATGGCTCAGAATCAAGAGGTCAAGTCCTTGTCCTGACTCTGTCCTCAGCTGTGTGTGAGGTCAGGCCATCCTGTGTTCTCTAAGATGCTTTAGTTCAAGATCATGTAGGGGGAAAACAGCCTCCTTGAGTTTTATGAAAAAAGATTAAAGGATCAAATTTCTTCACAAACACTATAGTAATCTCAGCTTTTGTAAAGAAAAACATACATATATAGTTCTACAGAGATATTAGCAAATCAAATTATGTGGACATGTACGTGTGTCTTATACACGACAGTGCCCTAGAGTTTCAGGCTCATGAATGCTATCCCAATGTACATGTTCATGCACTCCCTATACTTTCCAAAGTATCATTTTCTCTATTTTGAGGGAAGATGGTACATTATATTGAAAAGGCTAATAGGAGATAAAACTCATTATCTAAACATATTTCTAACCTGGGACAAATGGTTGAGGTGTCCATTTAATATCAAGGCTAGACCTGGCAGCCAGGTTCTCCTAGCATCCCTCAGTGCCTCCCTGCCACAGGGTGTGACTCACATACCCTACCTTCTAGCCCTCTATGCAGAATTCTCCAGCCCAGGGCTGCCCTTCCCCGAGTGGTTCTTCCCTATTTAATTCAGATACTTGGGTCACTTGCCCTTTGTGGACCTTCCGCCTACTGGCTGCTGCACCGGTTCCCTTCTCCTCTCTCTCTCCCATGGCCCAGCCCAATGTGGTCATGTCCACTCTGGACTCTCCCAGATGTCCCTGCTTCTGGCTATGCTCTCCCACATATCTATAATAAACTTTCTCCTCCACCATACCTAGGAGCAGTCATGTCCTTTTTTTCCCCTTTTCTTTCTTTTTTTATTCAAATACATATTAATAAGATTACAAAGTCCTATGTATTTATATATTCACATAACAACTGGTGTTTGCAATGAAGACACTGCATTTACTACATTACCATTGTTAAGCATGACAGAAAACTTTCAGTTGTGTGTATCACACCTACTAAAAGCTGAATTTCAAGTCTGAAAATAGCACCTATTTTTAGTTGTTATTACTAAGAATGACTCAAAAGGATTTTCTTTGTAGGAATTCAGTACTTTCCCTTTAAGTCATCAGCATTCTTTAAAACACTACCAATTAAATCATAATTAACTCGTTTTACACACACACACACACACACACACACACACACACACACACACACAGGCGTACATATATATGAACCATAAACAATATGGCATGATAACTTTTTTTTTTTTAATCTTGGGAAATACTTACAACGAGTGACATTGAGGACAAAGAAGTTTAACAGCCTGGAAAAGTCTTCTGGGCATGTACGATCTTAGTTTTGCACGGATTCGATACTGTTGAGGAGCCTTTTGCTTCAAAATGGCACACACTGGTGTTTTCTTTAAATATTGGTGATCTGTAAGTACTGTAAACAATGTTTACATTAAATCAGAGTAAATAATGTATGGTGTCTTAGCTGTTTGGTATGAGTCTCCCTGAAACAAAGAATATACTATAAAATCAATCTCAGCTACAGTTAGTATTTCTAGATATGCACCTAAGGTCCATGGACTCTGTGCTAGGTACAGAGCAGGTACTCAGCAAACTTACAAAACAAATGCTGAGTAACTGGGGCAAGATGTGACTTAACTATATACTATGTGATCACACACCTTTATACCGTTAAACACTATATCTTATGCATTTTTATATGGAACTAATAGACATTTCCAGGGAACTTCTAATTTATGGAAAACGGGAAGGTTTATTTCAACTAGAAAACAAATGTTACCTGTATAAAATGTGAAACAGTTCACTGCCAACCTTGGAGACAACTCACTAGGCAACAGCTTACATTCTAACTAGATTTCACCAAGCAGATACCAACAAACCATATTCGCTAAAAATGATCTGCCACCTAGGTTCTTATCCTGGGTATCTCAAATTTAAGACTTCATTGCACTCTCCTTCATTTAAGAGCCAGAATGTGAGAATGGAAATGGTTATTAGGGGAACCCAATTATCATAGTGTAGTGGGTAGACATTCCAGCTTGGATCTGGAAGTTCCAACCCTCATTGAGACTCTGGCAACTGTCACGCGTACGAGGCGGGGCCAGGGGAGGCGCCGGGAGACCTGAGAGCTGGATGGGCCAGCACTCTCTCTGTGCTGGGACGCTGAATTGTGGAGGTTGACTGAGCAGAGCTCCAGACAACACCACTGGACTGCAATACACCTTCCCCAGACCCTGCGACCTACCTATTACTTAATTTGTGAGTTACGCCATTAAATAAATATCCTTTTAACTACGTGGAGTGGCCAAAATAATTTCTCCAATATCATAGTCATGCACAGTGTGTGAAAGAAAAGGAATTCATTTTCTAAGTAGAAAAGGGAGATGAGAGAGAAGGAAGAGGAGGGGGTAGAAGAAAGGAAGCAATTAAGTTACAAAAGAAGAAAAGAACAGTAGGAGGAAATGCCTGGGAAAGAGAAAAATGGAAGGTTTGGGATAGCTGGAATGAGTTCACATTAAACAGCCCTTCCTCAGCTCCTTAGATAGTCTATGATCTATTTAGAAAACAGAACTGAGGCACAAGCCCTACAAACCCCATACTCTCAAGGAATACATTTTCTTCACATGGTAAGTGGCTAAGCTTTGTAATGAAACACGTGTGCTGTGTGTAGACCTGATCACTTTAAAGGAAAACACTTGCCTCACTTCACACTCTGAGGGAATGTTTGAAAATATTTCAACTTTGTTACTTTCAAACCTAAAGAAAAATTGTGAGAACAACATAAAGACATCCTAGATATGCTTTAAAAAGATGTATCGATTGTAAAATACTGTTTTTCTGATCTACCATTATCTCTCTCTCTCCTTTTAATTTTTTTTACTGAATTATTGGCAACAGCTTCCAGACATATGTCCTATTTTCTCCTAACAATTATTTCATGGGAACAATTTGTCTCACTGACATAACTAGTGTCTGTTTCGAAGACAATTGACATGGTTTTAACACTATTATGGGATTATCAGATACTCAAGTCTCTTTACCTGTCTTTACCTTTCTGCTCAAACCCTAACAATGCAGAAAATTTGTCTTTCAAGCATTCACATTGCAAATGCAAATGATCCCCAGCCTATCTGTGTTTGCTTCATGACACTGACTTGAGAAGGAGAAACTCTGCTGAGCAAGCATCATCTTAGGTATGGGTGGTATTTCCTCACACTCAGGTTCAGATTGTGCACTTCTGGCACAGAGACTGCACCTGTGACATTGGTTCTCAATGCATCCTATGAAGTGGTCTGAGAGAGGACCTGGCCCTCCAGAGGAGGGAAATTGTGCAGCTGGGTAAAGAATGTTCATCATCTCTCTACTCTGAACCAATTTCCCACTATTGTAATTAGTAAGGGGGTAACTTAGAATCCAATAGTTTAAAACGGACTGATTCACAATTAAACCAATAATTAGCATCATGTGTGCAAAATGGTCACTTTTAAAAACATCATTCCTTTTCATTTATTAGGTGCCATTCTACCTTTGAAGAGTTTTCTATTTAATCACTTTTATTAGCAACCCAAGTTCATACATTCCAGTTTTACTCAATGAATTCTAACCCATCATTAACCTTTATTTTGATGATCACATTGTCCCAGATTTGATACTTTTTATTCGCTGAGAATTTCTTTATTTTCTAGCAATTCAAGATGTTCTTGATTTATCCCTCATTTCCCCATCTTAATTTTGGAATGTGCCTTTTCTCCAAAGATACTAGGAATATTTTTATAGGTCAACATCTGTCTGTGCGTTACATATGCTTATTGCTTCCAGAGGTCATTGCCTCTGCATGGCAATACCTGTAATGGTATCCATACAGGCATCTAAAGTCTGAGTACAGGGCATCTTCAGTTCCACTAAAACATGTCTTTAGTCTCCCATCCCATACTTACACTCCTTCTTCCAAGAAGAGAAACTCCTATTTTACAGCATTATACATTTAATGAACTACTTAATGAATTATTTAATGTACTTCTGTAGTAGAATATTATTTTAAGGTGTGTTACTTTTGCTTGTTGCATTTGTTTAACTCTGTGAAGCTGTGTTATTGTGCCTGTCTAAAACACCTGCTAGTCTGTCTAATGAAGAACTGAATGACCAACAGCAAGGCAGGAGAGGGAAATAGGCAGGGCTGGCAGGCAGAGAGAATATATAGAAGGAGAAATCTGGGAGGAAGAAGAACAAAAGCTAATGGAGGAGTGAAGGAAGAAGGAGTCAGAGAAGGAGGAAGACTCCAGGGGCCAGCCACCCAGCTACACAGCACGCCATGGAGCAAAAGTAAGATTTATAGAAGTAAGAGAAGGGGAAAAGCCCTGAGGCAAAACGATAGACAGGATAATTTAAGTTAAGAAAAGCTGGCAAAAAAACAAATAAGCTAAGGCCACAGGCATTTATAATTAAGACCAAACCTCTGTGTGTGATTTATTTGGGAACTGGGTGGTGGGCCCCCCAAAGAGAAATGACCAAAAACAACAACTTACTTCTGCTTACAGATTTCTTTTTCTGAAGTAAAGTTTTTTTTTCCAGTTAGTTAAAATAACAGGAGTGTATGTGGTAAATGTACACTATCACTGTTGATATTAAAATTTGGGAGCATAGTGTAGAGTTTAAGTGTGTAGAGTTAAATACATCGTACAATCTTAATGAATTAATGTCAGAGTATAATTTATATCATTAAACTAAACACAATGTAATAAAATTTATAAATTGTATTGATATATAACTTAAAATGCATATTCCATATAGGGCTATTGCATGGGTCTATTTTATAGCACTATAGGATGAAGCTGAGGAACCAATGTTAAACACAAATACAGACTGCCCCATGAAGTATGTGCTGAAATGTGACTTTATTTGTATGTTAATAATAAAGTTGCCTGGGGATCAGCGCTAAAAGCAAGCCATTTAGCAGAAGTCCAACAGTGGTGGCACATGCCCTTAATCCTACTCACATGGCAGGCAGTCTCTGCATAGTCAAACACAGCTAAGCAGTGACCCTAATTTTTAATCCCAATATGAACCATAGAGCCCTAGAGGTCTGTATAGACAGGCAGTGATAAGGAAATCACTTTTAACCCTGTATTTGGCTTTGCGTTTCTTTTTCAATAAGACTGTGTAGAATTTCATCTACAATGAAGATCTACTGTCAACCATGGTACAAAGGCATTGGTTGGGGAGTGTAACCAAAGGCATCTGCATGCTGGCTACTGTACTGAGAGTGGTCTTACTTGTAGCAGAGACTTGTTGACATCGCTCTACCTCATACAGTGATACTGATCCTGAGCCGGAGTCTATAGGAAGAGAAGAGAAATCACACAATAACCTAGCTCGTTAAAATGTCCATTAGAAACTTAATGTAAAATTTAAAATCTAGAACACTGTCCAGAGAAACTGAGGAAAGCCTAAAAAAATGTTGAAATGTCTATTTTCCTCAAATTTATTTGCAGATTCAGATACTCTTAACAAAAATAACAGGCTTAATTACAAAAACTGAAAGGCAATTTTTCTCATTTCTTTGAGGAGAAATACAAAAAATTTAGAATACTGAATAAGATCTTGACAGGGAGGAACTTTAGTGAATTTATACTACTTGACTTCAAGACATAGCAATCAAGAAACCTCGGTATTGACAGAAAGACTAACAAACCAAGAAAACAAGGAAAGCTTGGAAATTAACCCACATTTTGATTTGACTGTTGACAAAGAAAAGAAAGTCATTCACAGAGACTACAGTATTTTTTTCTTTTCAAGAAATGGCTTTGCAACCACTAGAAATTATTAATAAGAGAGTACATCATTAGACATACACTAATAAATGATATACAGGAAACCTTCAATAAAAACATAGTTACTTGATGTTTTGGTAGATACCAAGGTCTCTACATGAAGAGAAAACAAATAGTGCTTCTACTGCAGGTCTCCTTATCACCACTTCACTCTGCATTAAGAAATGAGCTACTGACATACGTTCCAGCACAGAGGACTCTCAGAACATAGTATGTACAAAAGCAGTTCCATTCAGTTCAACAATAAGAATATCTTTGAGAGATTTGGATGACTCACGTTTATACATCAGACACCCAATACACATAAAAACAAAACAACTTGGTTAACATAAAGGAGCATCAATACCTTTTGTTCCTTCTAGAAACTGACAAGCAAAATGGTTGCTTAGGAAATTCATATAGATTTTTTTTTAAATGCATACAAAACAGTACACATACATCGTAAATCAAATAAACACTGTCACTCTAATTTGAAAATCTGATTATAAATTTAAGTGTGAACCACGCTTGTTGTACACAGGACAGATAAATGTTAAGGTGTTACTTTAATACATATACATACCATTTAAGTATACGAATGGAAAAAAGACACAGGGAAGAGAACACTGAAAAAGACAATCGTGCTTCTAAAATTTTAAGACAGTAAAATGTCAATGTTATAAATTATCCTTACTTGAAAGTGAAAAGCTGTCCTCATTCTCTGATTGACTGATACCATTTGAGGGCTGATTGATTGCCAGTTCTGCACATTTTAAATCTCTAAAATTAAAGAATAGAAAACCAAACTGTGTAACAAAGTCAACAGAGTTAGTTTTACCTTTACTCACAAAATCCAGGAGTTCATTAAATTATAAAATTTGATATGATTCCAGTCAATGATCTGAAGCTTTTATCAGATTATCTGAGAGCTCCAAAGCCCTCACATAGCTGAGGAGGTCAGAAAGATATGAATAGAACAGTCAATGAAATACTACTAAAACAAACAAAAAACCTGGGAATGTAATGGTTTATGTTATCAGTTACAATGTCACTCAAGACTGGAACAATAAGCTCAGTCTCCTGGAACTAAGACTCTAGATGTGGACACAGGGTCTCCCTAGTTCTACCTGACATTGAAGCCCATCCATGTTCACTGCTTTGTGATTCTACTTTGTGATCCAAAACACCTCTTCCCTACGGGGACCCACTGCTGCCACATTAGCCTGGGACTCAGGTAGGGGGCCTTCATTCTTCTTCCTGTGTTCCATTCTAGTCTCTTCACACTTACCCTTAGTCCTGCTGCAGCCTGCTTGTCTGATTCTCTCCTCCCAGGTCACAACCACCCCTTTGAGACTCAACATCTTGGTGCAGATTTAGGGTCTCTCTAATTCTTCTCAGTCACTTCTCTCAGCCTTTCCTTCTATGCATCTCCATTCCTTTGTGACCAACCAGCAGAACAGCCCTCTATCACAGATCCAGACCCACCACTTTGCTGTGACCCAGAACAGCTCTTTAGTAGCAAAACCACAGCCACCATATTTGGCTAGGAACCAGACTGAGCAAAAGCAACCAAAGAACAGAAACTCCCCCAACAAAGATAAGAGCAGATATCTATACCAAGAAACACTTCAAATGTCATAACTACAGATTACTAAATCACAGAGCAAAACCACATGAAGGAAAAACAAGATAACATACCTCCTTCAGAACCCAGTAAGTCTATTATAATAGGCCCTGGGAATAGCAATTAAGTCAAAGCACAAATCAAGGACTTAAAAATAGCAGTTAGGAATGTGCTCAAAGACCTTAAAGGGAATATGAATAAATCCCTAATGAAGATCATGAAAATACAAACAGCTGAATGAAGTAATGAAAACATTTCAAGACATGAAAGTGAAGTTTAACAAAGAAATAGAATCACTAAAGAGAGAGAGAGAGAGAGAGAGAGAGAGAGAGAGAGAGAGAGAGAGAGAAAGAGAGAAAACCCAAATTGAATAAAACTGGAAATGAAACAACTTCATAGATAAATGTCAGCAACAGATTAAAAAAATTGAAAGAAGAATTTCAGGCCTTGCAAACACAATAAGGGCAGTCCTAAGTGGCAAGTTCATAGCACTAAGTGCCTACATCAGAAAACTGGAGAAATCTTGCATAAATAAGGAAAGGACACACTTGAAAGCACTAGAAAAACTAGAAGAAATAATACTCAAAAAGAAGAGATGAGAAAAAAAATCAAGCTCAGAATTATAGTTAATTTCACCCAACTACAAATGGTGCCGCCTACAACAGAAACCTTCCTACAATATACACTGGTGCAGCAGCGGCACATACGTTAAAGGAGTAACCAACCATTATTAGAAACTAGATTTAAGGCTGAGCATCACTCAGCATCATCTTCTTACAGTAGATGGTAGTGAGCAAAGTGATCCACAGCCAGACAAAGTATAGAGTCTTTAAAATACTCAACACTAAATGGGATGTCTTTATCAAACTGTTTCTCTCAAGGCTCAGGGATCAATGCAAGAGAGGAGGAGGCATATAGCATGCAAAAGCCAGAGGAGGTGATGATTCCAAAGAAACGGAATCTTCCAGACACAAAAGGACTGACACACACATGGACTCACAGACACTGTCGCAACATGCACAACACCTACACAGGTTCAACCAGACAAAATCCCAGCACTGAGAAGGAAGTTCCACCCCTAACCAAAAAGTTATTGCAACTAATAACATCTGAGAAAGGGAAAATCTGTTTTTTCAAGAGTGACACTGAGTATATCACCGACCCCAGGACAGGCCCCATACTCATAACAGACCAATACAAAATGGACTCTATGTTTTGTTTCTGTTTGTTCTGTTGTTATTGTTTTTTGTCTTACTGATTTTCTTTTTTAGTTTGTTTTGATTTGTTTTCCTTTTTTCTTGAGAAACAGAGAGGACATGAAGGTAAATGGGTAGGGATGTGGGGGAGGATCTGGGGGTAAGGAAAGGGAAAAATATGATTAAAATATATATGATTAATATATATGTGATTATATATATATATATATTATATATGATTAAAATATACTCACTTTTTCAGCTGATCCACACAAGAGCTAGTTTCTGGGAAAACCATTATTCCCCGACCATAACTGGTCCCTCCATGGAGATGAAACTCCAACCTTAAAGATGAGCTGTTGGTCTCTGAATTAACAGACTGAAGTTTGGTATGGAGGCTATATATTCTAAGAAAGCTTCCAACCTAAAAGAATAGTAAGAATATTATTCAGAAAAAAGGGATTAAAACAATTTCTGATATTTAAAAGTTTCACAATCAATACGAGGCAGTAACCAAAGACACAACCAAGGATACTGTTCAACCACAGAAGATATTGGAAACAGGACAGCACTGTGCCTGATATCAGCAGCATGGATTCCATATCACATTTGACACACATGTACAGGATGATGTGTATGCACATACCCATGGGCACAGTATGTAACATAAGCAGGCCCATTTCAAAGGTCCATCAATAAAATAATAGTGAAGGAATCCAAGACCTAATGAAATTCTATTTGATAATATTCTGAAAAGAACTTGTTTTGAACTAGTCTAAAATATTAAAAATGAGGCAAAGAATCCCCTATGAGACATTAGAAAAAAATTAATCATTTAGTTTAATCAAAATATCACAATGGCCAGATTTATTTCACAGGTTAATTTTCTTGCTAGCCACAGAAATGCTCCTGCCTTTGCCCTCTGACTGCTGGTGTTATACATATGTGCCACCATCTGTTTTCCCTTATCCCACAAATTCCATGGGAAAAAAGTTTTAATATAGCATTTGTACTTTTATCACAATCTGGTGACATTCTGTAAATTCAAATATAGAATTGAACTAGAATTTTGAACAAACCATTCTACAGTCAATCTCAGCTATTTTTCTGAAATTAGCCTAAAACATCTTTAATTAGAGAATTTAAGTTTTTTTCGATGAAGATTACAAATGAGAAAGCATAGTAGGGTATTCAAAGACACTAATATTTAGTGCCAAGTGCTGTTGTATGAGCCTCTAGTACCAGCTATGAGGGAAGACAGTTTGTGCCCACACATTCAAACCCAGCCCAAGCAACTCCATTTTAATAAAATAAAGACACTGTCATCTACTCCAAGGAACACGCTATATAATATGAACTGCATGTATTTTTACGTAGACTTATAAGCAAAATGGAATGAAACAAAATAAACAAGGCAGTTTAATTTAACTGCATATAAAGAACATCCCTGAGTGTTGGATGAGTGAGAAGCTACCTTTCCCCTTTTCCCTACAAATTCAATGTAATTGTGGTAACATAATATATTAGAAAAGCACCAAAGGGAGGGAGAGGGGTAGGTAGAGCTGGGGGTAGGGAGGGAGGCAGGGAGGGAGACAGGGGGTAGCAATGGTATAGAGATGGGGGTACAGAGGGAGGCAGTGAGGGAGAGAGAGGGTAGGGAGGGTGTAGAGATGGGGGTAGGTGTAGCATGAATCTTAAAAGCTCTTATTAATAAAAACAAGCCCGGAGCCAGGTACTGGGGTGAATGCTGACAAGATTAGAGAGACAAAACAGGCCACTGCTGACCTCACCTTTCCAACTACTCAACCAATCCAGTTTCCTCAAACTGGAAGCCTCTGAACCCTCATCTGGAATGAATCTCAGCTGAACTGCTGCTAAAAGCCTAAAAGCTTAACCAGGCTCTAGTTCCTGGTCCTTATGCCTTAATACCTTTCTGCTTCCTGCCATCACTTCCTGGGATTAAAGGCCTGTGTTGCCATGCCTGGCTTTTCCAGTGTGGCTTTGAACTCACAGAGATCCAGATGGATCTCTGCCTCTGGAATCTCTGGAATGCTAGGATTAAAGGTGTGTGTGCCACCATTTTCTGGCCTCTATGTCTATCTAGTGGCTGTTCTGTACTCTGACCCCAGATAAGTTTATTAGGGTGCATAATATATTGAGGAACACAATATTACGACAGGTAGGGATGGAGGCAGGGAGGGAGAGAAGGGGGTAGGGAGAGAGGCAGGGAGGGAGACAGGGTGGGGAGAGTGTAGAGATGGGGGTAGGGATGAGGCAGGGAGGGAGAGAAAGGGAGGTGAAGGTGTAGGCAGGGAGGGAGACGACAGGGTGGGGGTGGGGGTGTGAGGGGGTGAAAATGGTGTAGAATGGGGGTAGGGAGGGAGAGAGGCTAGGAGGGAGTAGAAATGGGGGTAGGGAGGGAAGCAGGGAGGGAGACTGGGTAGGAATGGTGAAGAGATGGAGGCAGTGGGGGAGAGAGAGAGGGAAAGAGGGAGAGAGAGAGACAAGCAAACCAAGCTTCTACTCTGGAAGCTCCTTGTTAATCTTTAGCTCTGGGGAGCAGGAAGAGTGGGAAGGAAGTCAGGGAGAAATAGCCACATTCCCAGCACTACTACTTTACTTCCAAGGGTATTTCTTTCTGGTCCTTGTGGGTTTTCTGAGGAGGACAAGCAGATGGAGGTACCCAGCCTATTCTCTTCCAGCTGCCTTTACCTGCTTTTACATCAGAGGGGGAGAAGGGAATGCAGAGGTTCAGGGAAAACATGTAAAAACACAAGGGAAATACACACTTTCCAAGAGGATTCCAAAGTGAGATGCTAGAAGTATTAAGTACTAAAATGTCTATTTTTGTATGCTTGTTGTAATGTTTATTACTTTTTGATTATACATCTGTATAGCAGAGGTCTATAACTGTCAACGGATTAGAAAGAAAGCAGAAACAGGAAAGAGACCTCCATTAGTAGACAAAAGCTTAGCTATATGAAGCTTAATTTCTTTTACATTGCATTTTAATTTCAGCTAGAAACTTCAGTGTCTGTCATTTATGACATCTGAAAACTTATTCCGAAAATATGTATGGAAGAAAAAGGTCAAGCTTGTTCTGAAAAGCAGGATGTGGGGCAAGACAAAAGTATAATAAACACCCTAAGGAGTAGTGAGCACAGCTATGTGCCAGAGTAAGAGAACTTGAAATGCAAGAGACCGAGAACAGAGGGACTTGGGAAAGTCCCATTCATAGCTTTACTGCAGAGGAATCTGAAATGAATGTGGTACAATCTTCAGGAGAAAGTGTACATGATGAATGTATGGTACTTACTACGTGTCCCCTTCACTACACTGCACTAGTAAATAAAATGTACAGGCCAGCATAAAGCTTACTTCTCTCTCTGAGCAGATCACAGAGGAAAGATGACAAATTGTTATTATCAAAAATGCCTTCTGGAGGCAGCATTGTATTTTGTAAAGCTTGAGTAAATATGAAATGTGCCCGATGCTCTAATATATACACAAAATTGTTTAGTCTTGTTAGTAATGCAATAAGATTCCAAAGCTACAAGATAAGACATTACAATAAAAAGGTAGGTGTATTTTAATCTGTTATGAAGGTTTAATCAATAGATAACCATTAAAAATACATGCCTAGAAAGAAGCACTATGCCTCTAGAAAAATTATTCTCCAATTAACAATAACAACAACAAAAATAGCTACAGTGTTTTTATTTTCCCCTATAGCTAACTACAGTTATTGGGTCACTAAATGCCAAAATGAGATTATGACTATGTATGTTTTATACTCTTTTAGAATTACAGCAGGATAAGAGTATATTATTTATGGAAGTTGATAATATGCCTTACAATTTCATTAACTATTGTCATTATTAAAAAACATTTTTTTCTGATTCTACATAACAAATTATGCAATTATCTCATGCATGCTAATATTAAAATGCAAATCTGAACATCTGTCTTGAAGTGCTGAGAAGAAGGTATTTGCATCAATGACATGTGACTGAAGGTTTCCTATTGTCAATGTTTCAGAGGTTGTCAGAAAATAAAAGTGGTATTAAGGAATAGTAAGTAATGTAAAGTTGTATCACACTCAAAGAGAATTCTTTGCATCTTTATATTGCTCTGCAAATAATATATAATGCTATGATGTCTGAGAGAAATGACATGGCATGTTTTCTTAATTATGTGTGCTAACGTCACCCTCTAGTGGACAATGCAGAGGATCTGGCAACATTGGACTCCCTAACCAGCCGATATTCTTTGATCCTCATTGCCCTGAGCTCCTTTGGAATGTGCTGTTTAGGATTCAGGGAACAGAAGCAGAATAGGTGGAGAGACCATTCCTAGTTAGGACATTAGCACAGGGAAAGAGAAGAGAACTCAAATATACAAACGGTCAAAGTAGATTACGTTGCTGAGTAAAAGTGTACATCCTTTCTCTTCATTAAAGAGTCCTTCCTGTGCATTATGAAAGTTCTTTCAAATTTGGACTTATCATTATTTTTGTTTCCAAAGCAAATCTATTAGTGTAGACAGCATCACCAGAGAAAATTCCAAAAGTCTATCTTTAAAAGTTTTTTTTTTTTTTTTTTTTTTGTCAAGTACAGGTGCCTAAATGTACACACACATTTACAGAGGATAAGAAAGTATTGTCACTACCCCCGGCCCTCTCCTTCATACAGTTTATTGTCATAAGTCATAAGTCAGCTAAGACAACTTGTAACACAATATGAGAGTGGAAGTGTTTTCTGCTCTAGGATATTTGTGTAATAGAAGGGAGCAGCACTAAACTGCACATATGCACTTTTATTTCTGTGTTTTCTCTTCTTATAAATAGACTGAAATGATCTACAGCAAAGATCATTTCATTTCAACATTTATTAGACCCAGAAACATTACAGATTTAACTTCTGAATGTCTCTCTTTCTCATATAAAATGGAATGAGGCCAGCGCTTCTCTCTTGGGATAATATCCAAAATACCTCCAGTGCCTCACAAATGTTACTCTGGGTACTGCTATTCATGACAACAGTATCAGCTATAGGAAACTTTAAAAAAAAAATGTGGATAAAATTGAAGAAAAACTATTTTCTACCATTTTTAAGTCTAAATTTCATAAGAACTACCAAATTTCCCTAAAAAGTAAGGTCAATACAATACACACAAACATACCCAAATAACTATGCACACTAGAGGTGGTACAATACTTCCTCAAAGTAATATGCAGAAAGTTAAGTCTACACTCTATCAAAACAATTCAGAGTTTCAAGATAAGAAGTCAGAGTGCTGGAACCAGGCTAGAACCTCAGTCACGTGTCCATCCAGAGAACGACTTCACCTGGAACAGCTGTGAGGCAGGTGCCTAATGCTCCTTGGACAGACAACCGTGACCTGTGGTGATTCTGGACCTCAGCCTGTGCTTTCCCACAACTATGAGGAATAGGGACTTCTTTGAGGCCCTCTGAAACTTGGCATGGTGGCTAATGGAATAGAAGCTGCAGAATAGCACGAGTGGGAGCCGGAGCAGCTGCTCCAGAATCTGCTTCCGGATTCTCAGATTCTGCTCCAGCATAAACCAATAACTCAAGATCTGTTTTTTGAAAAAACAAAAAAAGAATACACGGAGATTCTAAAGAACATATACTACCTAAAGATTTTCCTTTATTGAACGTGAAATTTTGTTTTGTATGACTTCAAAACTTTATCAAAGGCAAATATTTTGCATCATACATGTTGTCACACATTTCCACTGTTTCTAGCCTTCTAAGTTATTTATAAGTGGATTTTGCAAATAAAAACCAGCAGTAGTTTTACATATGCATGTTGTCCAAATGCCACCCATTTAAATAAAATAATTTGTCATTATTACTGTGGTGAAGATAAATATTGCTTTACTGATGGCTTTCTGGTGGTTAAAACGATATTATTTTTATCCCTCATTAAAGTTGAAATTTCTTTTTAAAAAGTGGCTAATAATTTTTTGCATCTTTGTTTGTTTAAGAATAACATTTCTCACATCACAAATTTTCTTTACTATTTCTAGGAAAAATATGCATGAAGTCATTGATTAAAACACTCCCAACACATGAGAAGTCCTCTTTTGAGTTGTTGGTCAGGGTTGTTTGAGAGACATCTAAAACCCTGGCTACTGCTGTTGTCCCCCACAGGCAGAAGGTACCATGCTGAGAGCAGGAGAAATAGTCTTCCCCAGGGAAGAACACACCAACTGGTTATCTAATACCATGTACAAGTATGGGGGAGGGGGAAGAGAGGGAGAGGGAGAGGGAGAGGGAGAGGGAGAGAGAGAGAGAGAGAGAGAGAGAGAGAGAGAGAGAGAGAGAGAGAGACAATGCAATGTGAAAGAAACCAAGGGATGGGGAGTACATGGGAGGCTGTGCAGGGAGGGAAGAAAGGGAAAGAGGCTGGTGATGTAATTATATTCTTAAATAAAAAGTAATTTTAAATGTATGTATATAGTATATACAAAATACATCCAGAGGTTTAAATGTAATTTAGACACACATTTTATAACTTAAAACTTGAAGACAAATCTGGTTAATTTCTAGACCCAAAATACCACCTACAAACAATATATGTGCAAAAATTACAAAACTAAAAAGAATATAAAAACAAATAGCATCTTTTATTCACCATCACCTTCAGGGATTTTGCCACTTGAACATGGTTATCATAGACCAGAACATCTATCACCAGACTCTGTAGCTGCAGAATGTGATTTAAATCACCTTCAAAAGGAAGATCTTGAATGGAGACTCTCCAAGAGGGAAACACCGTCCTTGTCCCGTCCCATACCTGCCGTGGGACAGTAAAGACAGGCTTAATGAGCTTGATACAATAACACCGAAGCAAGCCTAAAAATGAATTGATGTATGCTGCTGAGTATCTTTAATACTTTTAAATGTGATGTGTACCATTCTGGGACCACAAAAAGGCTAAATGTGAACTACTGGTGATATGCAGAAAAAAATGGAGAAAGATATAAAAATAAAACGTCACTATATGATACCAAACAAAATATTAAGAAGCTGTAGACTGCCTTTTTTCTTTTTTTTTGGATTTTTCGAGACAGGGTTTCTCTTTGTAGCTTTGTGCCTTTCCTGGAACTCACTTTGGAGACCAGGCTGGCCTCAAACTCCCAGAGATCCGCCTGGCTCTGCCTCCCGAGTGCTGGGATTAAAGGCGTGCACCACCACCGCCCGGCGACTGCCTTTTTTCGATTGTGTTCAAATACCACCTGTTTTTCCCCCACCCACCTTTCCGTCTCTTTATCTCCCTATCTACACTCCTCATCTCTGGGTATATATAACTTCTGGTTACTACAAAAAACAAAGATATGAGACAAAATCAAAACATTAAAACAATGAGATTATGCCTGCTTCAAACTGAGTATCAAGAAACTAGAATAAGCTTAAGGAAAGTTAAACTTAAAGGTATTTCTCAGCATCTACACTGTATGAATAGAGTAACAGGGAAAAGTGGAGGTCTGGAGAGATGGCTCAGCAACTGATAATGTATACCCTTTTGAAGAAAAAACGAGTTTGGTTTCCAGCACCCATGTCTTACAGCTTACAGCTTCCTGTAATTCCACCTTTAGGGGAACTAAGACACTTTTCTGGACCTCCCAGGCACTTACATATTCATACATATGTAATTAAAAAATAAATGCATTCTTAAGAAAAGATTTATGTAATTACGGTTTAAATGGTAAATGGTGTTGGCATAGCCTAGACTCATCTGAGAGGAAGGTGTCAACCGAGGAGCTGCCTAGTTCAGAATGGTCTGTGGGTATAGTACCCAGGGTGTGGGAAGAGTCTACAACCAGCTGAATATCTAATCTTTGACAATAATAAATGAAACTAAGACACGAGAAACTCTTTAGTCCATTCACTATTCTTCTGAGTCAGTTCTCTCTCTACATAGCTCTTCTCTGTCCCTTCACTTCCTGTCCTCTCACGGCCCTAACTAAGCTCTTCTGTTATCAATCTCATCTTCGCCCTCAGTTCCTCCATCCATGTTCATTCCTTCCTTTCCTACTCTCCTCACCTAACCCAACCCCTACCATCTGCAAAAGCTCTGTCTTGTCCTTTCTTCTCTGGCCATCAGACTCTGCCAGGACTAGGAATTCTCACTCAACCCTCCTTCACCTGGAATGCAAAAAAGCCCTTTTTTCCCCAGAGTCAATTGCTCTGGAATGCCTTTTGACTTGTGAGGGGAAGGAGGGTCTGAGCTTCATTTGCACAAGAAACAAAGCTATGCATTTACATATCTACCTGTCTCCTAGGCTAAGGAAATAGGTGCTGTCTCTGTAGGGGTGTTACCTAGTTCAGATCAGCAGTAGTTCTGAGAAGCTTATACTGTTTGCCATTATGGCCTAGGAATATGAGCGCACAAGAAATTGATAGCAGAAAATAGCTAATATATTAAAAGCCGAATACATCAAATATTTCTTGATATTCCTTGATCCTTCAAGGTATAGCTTTATCATATACAACTGAGTCTCTGTTTCATATTCTTGTGGTCTGCAACATGTGGGGGATTTGTTTTTGACTGTTGATTGATGCAGGAGAGCCCAGTCCTACTGAGAGCAACATCTTTCTCAGGCAGGTGGTCTTGAACCAAGTAAGAAAGTTAACTGTGTATAAGGTGGTCTATAAGCTAGCAAACAAGTAGTGTCCTTTCTGACTTCTGCCATACTTCCTTGACTGTGTATGAGTTCTACATTTAGAAATAACGTGGCTGTAATGGGACACTTAAAAGTTCTTGCTTGAGTGCCTATACTGACTTCCATCTGGACTGTGATCTGGAGGTATAAGTCAAATAACCCTTCTCTTTCCTAAGTTGATTTCGGTCAAAGTGTCTTCTCAAAGCCACAGAAATGATACTAGAACAAATTGCTACTGAGATGGATATATCATGAATATGAAAAAGGGGCCAACATTACATTGTGCTCAGGTTGAAAAAGGAAAAAATACTTTGCATACTAATAGGTATCACTTAGAAAGACTAATGTCTATTTTCCTGTTTTTAATGTTTAATTAAAAGTTACTTCTGATACATGAGAAAATCAAGATCAGAAAAAAAAATCAATCATAATTTTATTCCTTTGAAGTACTTAAGAGTAAAACATTGCCATATATATTTCCTGAAATATCTTTGCCACTGTAGAAGCATTTTTAGTATATAAATGAGGACATATTAATAAGCAGACTATAATTAGAGTTTATTTCAACAAGTTAAGGTCTACAATTTCATTATATAGTCATAATACATTCTATCACAAACAAAGAGTTCCTGCAATCAAATAATCACTTTTTTTTCTTCCAGGTTTTGACCTGGAAATAAAGTATTATTTCAAGTATACTTTTTCATACATTTAAAATTATTTTAATAAAGGAAATTCATAAAAATAAATTGTTAAGTGATTTTCAAAAACTTTTAATCTATCTATCAAGCTGTCCTCAAAAAGCCTTATTAGTTTTCTTATTTTTATTTCTCAGTGCTGAATTTTCAAATAAGTTCCTTGACCTTATTCAGCCCTGCTAAAGTCCAGGCCTGAAGTGGGAGGTGCTACCAGGCTTCACACCTAACTGAGGATCTACTGGCAGTGAATAGCTTCTAGAGGCGGGAGAATCATGTTTCTTTGGGAGTGTGGTCACGGAGAGGGTGGCCATGCCCAGTAAATGGCCTCCTGATCAAGCACACATGGGCAGCACTAAACGGGCTTAGTGAGGAAAGGAAGGACAGGAGGGTGGGAGTGGGGTGCTTTGTGGGGATAAGTGAGGGGAAGATGAAGGGGGAACAGGAAGTGGATATGATCACATTTCACAGTACACATTTATGAAATTCTCAAAGAACAAATTTTAAAAGACAATAAATAAACCAAGTCTCCAAGGCTGACTTATCTGGAAACAGGGTATCTAGTAAACTAGGCTACAGGCCTACATGGGTTCTTCAGAGAGAGAAAGTAGTTCGACTCTATCAGCTACAGGGCAGCAGGCTTTATCTCAGAACTGCAGTTTTTTCTAGCATCGTAACAGTTAGCAGACGCTATCTGCAAAGAGCCAGCATCTTTGTTCCTGGTGACGTTCAAAAGTTAACAAGTAGTCATGTGTTAAGGATGTCACATTGGCCAGGGAACATAAGTTACTTATCTAAGATTTTGTCTAACCCTCAATGATTTTATATTTCTTTGGTTTAGCTTGGCTTTACTTGACTTACTTAACTTTCCTTAAAATAAATATTTACTTTCTAAGCTCTATGTTGACATAAAGTTGCTACTTTCAACTCCAAAACCTTGGTATTTTATCCAGTGATTTCTATTTTTCAGGGTTCCTTTAAAATGTGCCAGCAGTAAGAGTAATGCTAAGCCCTGTCTTATCTAAGTACCATGGCATTCCATTTCTTGTCTGATTATTCCAAATAGACAAGAGAGACTTAAGCACAGGATCTTTGCTAAAGCAGTACTGCTAAAAAATCCTTTATAACATGGTAAAGCAAGGAAAATGATTAAATAACTACCTTCCCCTGGTTATTCGTGGGGTAGGAGTAAATGACGATTGCATAGTGTTTATGTGACTATATTTTTTTCTAGGTGACTTAAAAACAAAACAAAAATAACAAACATTTCAAAGTTACTTACGCCTACTCTCATGAGCCAGACAGTGAAAGACATGGGGACAAAACTTCATAGCAATAGACCCAGAAAGTGAAAGGGTGACAACGTAACTGACTTTCACAAAGCAGCACAAATATTCACACAGAAGTGTCACTAAAGACAGAATTCTGAATGTTATTAAAATAAATGAATGTTACAGTTTCTGAAATTCATACCTGGTAAATACTGTTTTTCTCTGGAGGCAAAGCACAGACATATGCAGGAGTGGGAGTAAGTAAAGGGGGGTGGGGTGTTTCAAGAACAGTATGTGAAATTTAACTCTACAAAATGGACTCTACAAACACTGCAGCAGACTGCTGCAGGCTCCTTATTGACAGTTATATGGCACTAAATCATGATTTCAAATATTTACATTATACCTTTAGAAGAAAGGCTGTTCCATCCACTTCTGCTTTGCCCAGGAGCTGACAAGTCAGGTCATAATACTGCATGGGTTGAACATCACACAGCTGCACCAGAGCTGAAGAAGCGGACATGTGTGTGGATGCCCAAACCCGCAAGGCTTCTACCATTTTTTGGTCCTCAGCAGTGAAGTTGAACTGTTTGCTTGAAGTACGTGCTGTGACAGGAGTCCCTAAAGTTCCTTCAAATGTCAGAGATGCAAAACCAGAGCTGTTGATTCCCTGAAGCTCATTTTTATAGACTTGGATCTAAGAAAGTGAGGTAAAGAAGAAAACAGCTTACTGTGGTGGTCTGAGTAAGAACGGCCCCATAGGCTCACATATTTGAATGCTTGGTAACCAGGGAGTAGAACTCTGATAGAATTATAAGGACTAGGAGGTGTGGCCTTGTTGGAGGAAGTATGTCACTGGGGGTGGGCTCTGAGGTTTCAAAATGCCATGCCAGGCCCAGTGTCTCTCTTTCTCTCTCTCTGCCTGTGGATCAGAATGTAGAACTCTCAGTTACTTCTCCAGCACCATGCTTGCTATGCTTGCTGTTAAGCTCCTACCATCATGAAAATAGACTAAACCTCAGAAACTGAAAGCCAGCCCCGAATCAAATGCTTTTTCTTATAAAAGTTGCCTTGATCATTGTGTCTCTTCACAAGAATAGAACTGTGACGGAGACACTTAAGGATAAAAAATTGAGGAACCAAAGGAACTGGAAATGACAAAATTTTTCTGGTATAAATAACAGAGTAATTCTTTAGTATTTATTATCAAAGTAGCTTATAAACAATGCAATCAATTCAACTGATGCTATGGTAAGATACATATTATATAAATTTTAAAACACTAAAAGAAATTTATACTTTGAAAAAGTAATAGTATCCAACTTCTATCAAACTTGCATTTCTATATTTATGAGTTTTCATTACTCATCATTTTCACAAGGGGAAAAATTATGTGACATTTATCTATGTGATTTAGTCAAATCCCGAACACATGAATATGTAAAGTAATGAATACACTGGAGGTTAAGGCATCTTTATGACTGAGTGTGTTGAACCACGCTATGAGGACTTTTACTGTGTAAGTCTGTGGGCTCATCTACAAATGTACACCTATCAAATATCTAGTCTTAATATTGTCTTCATGAACTGATTTGTTCATATGAAATGCTCCTCCCCTTTAAAATCTCTAGTAATACCTTAAGTCTGATAGTAAAATAATTGTCTCATTTTCTGGTTGCCTTATAAAATTTCTGTCTTATAGTTTTCCAATTTGCTTTTGTTTTCACATTTAAAGTACATTTTGTAGGTTGCACATACTTGATTCTTGATATTTATTTAGCGTGTATTTTTCTGGTAGTCAGAGTACACATTCACTCTCTATACATCATTATTGTTATGGCTGTGTATGTCCTTCCACCTTACTCTTCCAGAGTTCCCTGAGCCCTGAGTGAGGGATTTGATGGAGACATCCCATTTAGGACTTAGTGTTACAAGGTCTCTCACTCTTCACACACTGTCCAGCTGTGGGTCTCTGTATTTGTTTCCATCTACTGCAAGAGAAAGCTTCTCTGATGATGACTGAGAAAGACACTCTGATGATGGCTGAGCAAAATCTATGAGTATAGCAGAACATTAATATTTGACTCTCTCTTCGGAGCCTAGTCTATCCAGTCTCAGGGATGGGGTCCATCTCATGGAGTGGGCTTTAAACGTTCAGATATTGGTGAAGTTATTTTAGCTGAGATAAGTTTCAGTCTTCCCTTTACCAGGACTAATAACTCATTTCTTTAGTAGTCTGAAGCTAGTCAGAGCAACAATGATGGGTGATATTGCTCTGTATGCTGTGAATGTGCTGCTCTGATTAGTTGATAAATAAAATGCTGATTGAACAGTAGCCAGGCAGGAAGTATAGGCAGGATAAACAGACAAGGAGAATTCTGGAGAAAAGAAGGCTGAGGAGAATTCTGGAGAAAAGAAGGCTGAGTCAGGAGATGCCAGCCTGCCGTCCAGGGAGCAGCATGTAAAGGCACACAGGTAAAGCCACGGAAAATGCAGTGACATATAGATTAACAGAAAAGGGCTGAGTTTAAGTGTAAGAGCTATTCAGTGGTAGGCCTGAGCTAATGACTGAGCAGTTTTAATTAATATAAGCCTCTGTGTGTTTACTTGGGGGAGCGAGTGGGAAAGACTTGTCATGACCGTGGACCAGGCGGGACACAGAAAAACTTCAGCTACACAACACAGTAAGAACCCAGTCTTAAATAAAATTAATTAAAAAGAAGTTACAAGGATGTATCCTATCCCTTCCAAATGCTATATGCAAACTTGACAATATCAACAATATTTGGAAGAGACAGGACAAACTGAAACCAGTTGGAATCAAGGCTTCCAATGTTCATCTAGGAAAAAGAGGAAAGGAAATTTATTTAAATGAAGAGGGGTCTAGTTACTAATTGAAGCCTGATACTATTTATATTTCTTATCTCTTAAAATGTTTAATGTCACTTTTTTGACAAGGCAGCCATATAATTAATACTAACTACGATTAGTGAACAATACAGACTTCTTGTCTAATAAATGCAGATTGTAGAAAGTATGAATTATACCTTCAGCCTGTGAAAGCGAACAATGTCTCCAACTTTATAAATGATTGGAAGGGCTTCATAGTTTCCACTAAAGAGCATGCATGTTAACTTCACATTTGTCTGGTCCACAATTGTTACTACTGAGCAATAATCTGGGAAACAAAAAATATTTAACAAAAAATTAAAGTATTTTAAACCATTTGCTAAAATAAGAATATGCTTATTTAAAAATACCAAACAAATTTTACTCTTCTATATTATTAAGTTTTCTAAGGAAAAAAAATAGATACAGGCATGTTTTTGGCTTTCTATACCACTGCCAAATTAATCTAAAGATGTGTTCCACAAAAATTAACCTTAAAGACATACAGGGAAACAAAATAGAAGATTCTACATTATTTTTGGAGAAGAAATAACTTTTGTGTTTCAAAGTTCATGAAAGAGATGAATATACTCAGATAATGTGAGATTTGTAAAACAAATATAGTTGGAAATTACAAGGTTTGCCTAACATGAGCAAGGCCCTGGGTTTAATCCTCAGTGTTATGAGACAGAGAGAAACCAAAAATATAAATGCAGAAAATATGAAAAGTCAGATCTGTACTGTACAAATGCATGATCAGACAGTTTACAAACCCAGCCTGTCAAAGTAAACATATAATACAAATACACAATTTGTATAAAATTATATATAAAATTATATACCAATAAATGGGTCAAGATGAATAATGGCATTTTAATTTGGAAATATTAATAATATTAGTGCTTACAGAAAAACACAACTTTAATATTGTTGATATTTAAAACTGTAGACAAGAAACTGTCACACTAAAAACTCTCCACTATTTCTCCAGCCCATTGTCTGCCTGCATTCTGCCTTGTTTGTCATCATGATGATAATGGACTAAACCTCTCATTTGTAAGCCAGCCCCAATGAAAGGTTTTCCTTTATAAGAGTTGTGGTCTTTTGTCTCTTCATAGCAACAGAACCATAACTAAGACATTTGGTAACTCCATTTAGATCACCTTCATATATTTATACATGCTTCTATTGTATGAAGTTTCAATACACCCCCTCAAATAGCCCTTAGTTTTAGTTGTCTCTTCCAGTATTCAGGCCCTCAGCCCTATTCACATCAACCCAGCCAGTTTTATCCCACCTTGTTTATCCATAACTATCTATTCTAGTTTACTTCCTACGGAGATCAAATCCTCACCTCTAGTACCTTGCTCTATATCTAACCTCTGTGGTTATTTGGATTGTAGCTTGTTTGTCAAAGGCTTAATGACTAATAGCCACTTTAAGGGAAAATATGACATATTTGTCTTTGGGAGTCTGGGTTAAGTCACTGAGATGATTTTTTCTCACTCCATCCATTTTCCTGTGAATTTCATCGTTTCATTTTATTTAACAGCTGAGCAATGTACCATTGTGTAAATGTACCATATTTTTATTATCCATTTATAGGCATGTAGCCTATCTCCAATTTCTGGCTATTATGAACAGAGCAGCAATAAACATGGATGACCAAGTTTCTCTGTAACAGAATGTAGAGTCCTCTGGGTATACACCAAAGAGTGGTATATCTGGATCTTCCAGCAGATCTATATCCAGTTTCATGATGAATCACCATATTGATCCCCACAGTGGTTGTATCATGCTTGCACTCTCACAAGTATTGGATGAGTATTCCCCTTACTCCATATCCTCATCAGCATGAGCTGATGATTTTGTTTAATTGTTTTACCTTGACCATTCTGACTGGTGTAAGATAAAATCGCAAGGTGGTTTTGATTTGCATTTTTCTGATGACTATGGATGTTAAACGTTTTGTTAAGTGTTTCTTAGCCGTTTGTATTCTTTTGGAATTTCTGTTGAGGTCTGTACTCTATTTTTAAATTTGGTTGTTTTCTTGATGTTAAGGTTTTACAATTCTTTATATATTTTAGATATAAGATAGTCCTCCATTAGATGTATAATTAGTAAACATTTTTGCTTATACTGTAACCTGTTGATTTGTCTAAATGAGTGTTCTTTGACACTGATAGCTTTTCAGTTTCATGACGTCCCATTTATTACCTGTTGTTCTTAGTACATGTGCTATCAGCGTTCTATTCAGAGTCTTTTCCTGTGCCAATCAGTACAAGATTATTTCCTTCTTTCCCTTCTATCAAATTCAGTGTACCTGGATTTAGGTTTAGGACTTTGGTTTACTGGGACTTGAGTTTTTTACAGGGTGAAGAATATGGATCTGTTTCCATTCTTCTACATGCAGGTATCCAATTTGACCAGTATCATTTGTTGAAGATCTTATCTTTTTATCCAGTGTGTATGTCTAGCTTATCAAAAATCAGGTGTCCACATGTGTTTGGGTTTATCTCTGGGTCTTCATCTGAGTCCATCCATCAACACTTTGTTTTCATATAATGCCGGGTTTTGTTGTTGTTGTTTCTCTGATTTTTATTACTGTAACTCCATAGCACAACTTGAAATCGGGGATGGTGATACCTCTAGTAATTTTTTATTGTCCAGAATTGTTTTAGTTATCCTAGGTCTTTTGTGTTTCCATTATGAAGGGGAAAATTTACCTTTCAAATGATGTGAATTGTGCTGGAACTTTGATGGGAATTGCATTAAATCTGTAGATTTCTTGGTGGGATAGCCATATTTACTATTATAATCCTACCAATCCATAAGCATCAAGAGATCTTTCTATCTTCTGACATCTTCAATTTCTTTCTTCATTGTCTTTGACTTGCTTGATTAATTACATAAAGATTTCTTTTATTTTTGCTTATTAAGGGTAAAATGAAATGTATTGTTGCCCTGATTTTTTCCTTCCTTCTCAATTTGTCAACTACGTATAAGAAGGCTCCTGACTTTTATGCCATTTTGCTGAATGTGTTTATTAGCTTATAAGAAGGCTCCTGACTTTTATGCCATTTTGCTGAATGTGTTTATTAGCTCTAACAGTTTCCTGGTGGAATTTTTAGGGTTACTTACCTTTATAATCATACCATGTCCAAATAGAGACATTTTGACTGTGTCCCTTCCTATATGTACTATGGTGGTTTGAACAGGAATGGCCTCCATATGCTCAGATATTTGAATGCTTGGTCATTAGGGACTGGCAGTACTTGAGAGATTAGGAGGTGTGTGCTTGTGAAGGAAGAGTGTCACAGAGTTGGGCTTTGCTAAGTAGCTCTCTCTTCCGGCTGCCTGCCAATCTGGATGTAGAACCTCAGCTACCTCTCCAGCACCATGTCTGTCTGGATACAGTCATACATCTTGCTATGGCTATAATGGACTAAAGCTCTAAAACTGTAAGTAAGCCCTAATAAAATGTTTCCTTTATAAGAGTTGTCATGGTATCTCTTCAGAGCAATAAAATATTGACTAAGACATGTATCCTCTTGGTCTCCTACAGATTTCTTATTGCTCTACCTTAGGTTTCAAGTATAATATTGAATAGATATGGATAGAATGAATAGTCTTGTTCCTGATTTTAGTGGAAATGCTTTGAACTTCTTCCCATCTAATGATGTCTGTGGGCTTTTGGTAAATTGCCTTTCTTAAGTTTAGGTCAGGTCCCTTATATCCCTAATCTCTCTAGAACTTTTATGAGGAAGGGGTGTTGGGTTTTGTCAAAGGACTTTTCTGCATCTAATGAGATGTGTTTTCTGTTTATCAGTCTGTTTACAAGGTGGATTACATTTATTGATTTATGTATATTGAACCATCTTTAAATCTCTGGACTGAAGCCTACTTGATCTTGCTGGATGACTTTTTTTGATGTGTTCTTGGATTCGGATTTTAAATATTTTACTGAGAATTTTTACATCTTTTCTATGTTTACATCTATAAGGGAAGCTGCTTTATGATTCTTTGGGACTTTGTGTGGTTTAGGTAACAGGTTAACTGTGGCCTTGTAAAATGAATTAGAAGATGCTCCTTCTGTTTCTATGCTGTGGAATAATTTGAGGAGCATCAGCATTAATTCTTCTTTGAATGCCTGGTAGAATTTTGCCCGAAAACCATCTGGTCCTGGACTTTTTTGGTATAGGAAATATTAATGATTGCTTCTATTTCATTAGAAGTTATAGGTCTGTTAAAATGACTTATCTGATCTTGATTTAACTTTAGTGCATGGCATATATCATGAAAATTATCAATTTCTTTTAGATTTCTCCATTTTGTGGAGTATAGGTATTTAAAGTATGTCTCTCAATTTCCTTAGTGTCTGTTATTAATACCACCCCCTTTCATCTCCAATTTTGTGTATTTGGATGTTCTCTACATTTTAGTTAATTTGGTTAACTGTTTCTATTGATTTTTCTATAAGAACCAACTTTCTGTTTCCTGGATTCTTTGTGATGTTTTTTGTTTCCTGGTTTCTATTTTGTTGATTTCAGCTCTGAGTTTAATTATTTCTTGCTGTCCACTACTCTTGGATGTTCTTCCATTTCTTTGTTTTGTTTCTTGTTTCTATTCTATAGAGCTTCACAGTGTGAAGTTCACTCTCTAATATAAGATCTCAGCAACCTTATTATGTAAGCGCTTAACCCAGTGGTTCTCAACCTACAGGTTATGACCCCCCTGCAGGTCAAATGATCCTTTCACTGGGGTCAAATATCAGGTATTCTGCATATCAGATACTTACATTATGATTCATAACCATAGCAAAATTACAGTTATGAAGTAGCAATGAAATAATTTTTTGTTTGGGGTATCACCAACACATGAGAGACTGTATTAAAGTGTCACAGTATTAGGAAGGTTAAGAACTACTGACTGTGAGCATGCCTTCATTGTGTCCCATAAGTTTGGATATGCTTTGTATTCACTTTCATTCAATTTTAAAACATTTTAAATTTCTTTTTGTATTGTGACCTATTTTTCACTCAGTAGTGAGTTGTTCAGTTTCCATGTGTTTCTACGTTTTCTGTTATTGATACCTAGCTTTATCTGTGCTGGCCTGATAGGATACAGAATATTCTTTGAATTTTCTTGTATCTATTTAGGCATAATTTGTGTTCAAATATCATGTTAGTTTTGGAGAAAGTTCTATGAGCTAATGGAAAGCTTTGATCTTTTGCATCTATGACAAAAGTTCTATAAATATCTGTCAACTCCAATTGGTTTATGATGTCA